GACATTTTAACTTCAAAGAGGCTTTGTACCCTACGTACGAATATCGGCTACATATACTTCCATCATTAATTTCGGATCCAAACTAAACGAGCGAACTGATGACCACTCTACAATATGTATAGTTACTTACCGTCACCTACTGTAGATATAGACCACCCTACTTTTTCTATAGTTACTTACCATCACCTACTGTAGATATAGACCACCCTACTTTATCTATAGTTACTTACCATCACCTACTGTAGATATAGACCACTCTATTATATTTATAATTACTTACCATCACCTACTGTAGATATAGACCACTCTATTGTATCTATAGTTACTTACCATCACCTACTGTAGATATAGACCACTCTATTATATTTATAATTACTTACCATCACCTACTGTAGATATAGACCATTCTATTGTATCTATAGCTACTTACCATCACCTGCTGTAGATATAGACCACATTACTACATATATAGTTACTTACCACCAAATGCTGTAGATATAGACCACTCCATTGTATCTTTAGTTACTAACCATCATCTACTGTATCTATAGACCACACTACTGTATCAATAGTTACTTACCATCACTACTTAGATATAGACCACTCTATTATATCAATAGCTACTTACCATCACTACTTAGATATAGACCACTCTATTATATCAATAGTTACTTTCCACCATCTAAAGTAGTTATAGACCACTTTATAGTTACTAGCCGCCATCCACTGTAGATATAGACCACTCTATTATATCTATGGTAACTTTGCATCACCTACTGTAGATATAGACAACTCTACTATATCAATAGCTACTTACCATCACTACTTAGATATAAACCACTCTACTATATCTATGGTAATTTACTATCACCTACTGTATCTATAGATCACTCTATTATATCAATAGTTACTTAACACCATCTACTGTAGATTTAGATCACTCTCATATATCAATAGTTACTAAACACCATCTACTGTAGATATAGACCACTCTATTATATCTATGGTAACTTACCATCCCCTACTTAGATATAGATATCTCTACTATATCTATGGTAACTTACTATCACCTACTAAAGATATAAACCTCTCTATTTTATCCATAGCCACATACTGTAGATATAGACTACTCTACTACATCTATCGTTACTAACCGTCATTTACTGTATCTATAGACCACACTATTGTATAAATAGTTACTTACCATCACTACTTAGATACAGACTACTCTACTATATCTATAGTAACTTACCATCATCTGCTGTAGATATAGATCACTCTATTATATTTATAGGTACTAACCATCACCTACTGTAGATATCTACAACTCTACTATATCTATAGTAACTTACCATCACCTACTGTAGATATAGACCACTGTATTATATCAATAGTTACCTATCGCGATCTACTGTAGATATAGACTACTCTACTATATCTACAGTTACTTACCATCACTTACTGTAGATAAAAATATGTTTGTTTCTGCCATTCAAAAAGCTAAATGTTGTCCATGTATATTATTATATGTAAGATAAATTAATGCCTGTATAATGACAAGTTCTATAAACATCCCTTTGATTAACTAGCAGTAAATGATCCTCGATTGATATTTGATCATCAAGTATTACAACTTAAAATGTCTTTGATGAACAGTATAAGTGGAATCATTTTCTATATTGATAGTCTGTGTTCAGTTCAATTTAATTTGTGTTGCTTTCCTACTTCTTCTTTCCTTTTTTCTTCTTCTAGTGAAATGTAATTTCGTGACGACGACTAATAAACGAAATACAAAATATGGTATTAAAAACAAATTAATGACTGGATGAAAAGATTTCAAAGGAATAATAAATACCAGTTGATAATGAAAAGCCTTTTGGCTTGTTGGCTAAAGCCTTTGACAAAACCAAAATGAATCATATTTCTATATCCAACAAGCTCGAGCTTCAAAAGAAACGTAAGGAGAAAAAAGGATTAAAAAGTCTCTTTGACGTGTAATCTCTCGCTTCAAAGAGCAAACTAGGAAAAGAATTGAAAAATTCACCTTTTGTTATACAAATGATGAAAGTATTATCAGGGAAATTAACTTGTTGATTAAAAAAAACTCAATTTGTTACAAATTATCAAAGTTACGTAGCTCTGTAATTTCGATATAAAAGGCAATTTTTCACAAGTTAATCTAACATCAATTGATAGTGCAAATACGTTCGGTTTGTTTCATCTGCTTTTGATATATCAGATAGCTTTGACAAATTATGATTTTCACATCTAACTTTTTCATACCACAAAGAAACCCCAGAGACCAAATTGATTTCGACAAAATAGATAGCTAAATAATTAGATATTCAATTTCTATATGGAACAGAAATTGTAAACTGTGATTAGCCAAACTGCCAATTGGTTGAAGACCGTCGACGACGGAACGAGTTGCTAATACAAGGAACTCTTGTATATCGTACCTTTACCATTTTTTAACAATCAACTTTCGTTGATCTTATCGTTAAACGATTTGCTGGTCACGGAAGAACTCTAATGATTTAATCAATATCTTTCAATTCAGATTTTCTAACATCAAAAGAATTTGTTATTTTATGTGTTATAAAGGGGATATTTTGAAGTTGATTACGTTATTCTGTTTACCTGTATATCTTCATTATTACACCTGTTCTAATGCTACAATTACATACAATAAACCACATTTATTTACCTTTCAACCGTAACAATAGACCATCAGACGGCTACATAAACCATTTATTCTTTCTCTTTGATCTACCGGCGAATTAAGCCAACAGCTTGCTAACCCTCTAACGTCTCCGACCCTTAATTAAATACTTCAAAGGGACACTTGTCAACGCTGGTATTGATTTTCTCTTTGGCGACCGACGGCCAATATGTTATGTATTTATGTGTTAAAATAACAACGAAAATCTGTTAACTTTTCATAAAACTTGTAGCTCATACTTCTTCGCAAGATAAGAGAACACCCGATACACATGATATAGGGGTTGAAATAAGTTTTTCAAATTATGTCGATGCCGGTTTTGTTGGCGATTTCCAATCAGTAGTATCGACAGGTACGTTTTCACCACTCGAGTAGGGGGTGTCGGTTGGTTTGGGGTTTTATTTTGTATAAGAAAAAATTATTATCATAAACGGACTTTAAATAAATAAATAGAATAAAATGATACATTTAAAAGTGGGATGAGAATAGTATTTTCAAGAAAGCACTCACAGGTTATGAAATAGGTAACAAATTCAAAGGATGAGATAGTGAGTATAAAAATTAGTTAGAAATGGTTGTGACTTAAAATTATGAAAGTATGAAAATCTGTTCCTTTTTCCTCGGTTCTTGAAATGACAGAGTGAAGAGAATATTTTTTTCTCTTAATTAATTTTCGTTTCAAATATAAAATATTTTCTAGGGTTCTATTTCTAACATTGGTACTCTAATAGTATCAATTACATGACAAAAGGCACGTTTTAACTACTCAGATTAAAGATGTCCGAATTATCTTATATTTACAAAAGCAATGGGTCTTATTTGTTTGGTACGAAGACCCTAAGGCGCAATTGTAAACATATTTATTTATTATTTCGTTTATTTATTATTTCGTTTAAACGAAATAATAAATAAATATGTTTACAATTGCGCCTTAGGGGCTCCGTAGTTTGGAAACAACAAAGAAAAAAAAAACATACACTTTCAACCAACTTTCAAAAACATTCTCATTACCTCAAATTATGAACCACAAGATATGTAACTATGCGACAATTATAAATAAAATGTAACTGTAACATGTTTTAGGTATGTATAAGGGTTATAAATCAAACAAGGAGTCCTGTATAATGATAGAGTACGATCATTATGAGGCAAAACAATCAAATTCATATTGTGTAAAGAGAAGTTAAATTTCCGTGTCTACAATCCCGAAATAGGCAAAGAAGAAAAACTGGGTGACCTCAAACAAGATGGATACATTCTACATGAACGTCATTTTACTACCATACAACCCTACACTTTTCCCAAATCGCCGTGTCAAACAGAAATACTTTCCTCTGATATACATATAAACTGTCTTTTGATATCCTAGATTATAGAAATAGTTGTCGGTCTTGACAGGTTTAAGATGAACTTCAAAGCAAGCGTCAGGTAAACATCAAAGATAGCCGACAAACCAAGATGACCTGAGCCATCAAACACTATAGTAGTTTAGTAGGTGTCAAATTATGCCTTAATGAGTGTGAATATTGATGAATAAGCGGCGATCGACAGCCGTCTAAAATTAACCACAGATCCTACGCTACATTATCATTTTATGATATTTACTAGGCCTTTGATCGTGTTTTTCAAAGGTAAACCTAGCAGATTAACATTTCTTCTTTTTTTTCTTACTGATTATCCATACAAATACAAAGAAGACTTAAGATTATATGGCTAAGTTTTATACTTAAATCATATCGAGTTACCGATTTGTTCCGCGCTTGTATATCTAAGACGGCAAGTTCTTTGAAGTCTATTTTTTTTATCATCGTGTGTTATGTTGCCTTTAATATCCCCTTGAAAATCATATAACATATGATTTTGATGCTTTTATTCATCAGATATGCTTTGAAACCATTAATGATGAAATTTGAAGTTTCAATTATTCAAAAATAAACATAGTCGTGTAATTTTTCAATATTCATATGTAAATTTGAAATAAAACATTTAACATATCACATAATGTACAAGTTTAAAATACGTTATAAGTCAATGTTAAATTTCAAAATACTTTCATGAAAATTACAATCCTTGTCCCACAGTCGAAAATCGAAATGGAGTATTTTTATTCTGGTGTGTTTAAAAAAAACAAACACTTTTGTTTTTGCTGACTGCAAGGACTTTTGCAGTCTCCGTAACAAAGATAATACAAAAACTAAATAAGTATATACAGATATAATGAGTGGTCTATATCTACATTATGTAATGGTGTCTATAGATATAGTAGAGTGGTCTATATCTACAGTAGGTGATGATAAGTAACTATCGATGTAGTAGAGTGGTCTATATCTACAGTAGGTGATGGTAAGTAACTATATATACAGTAGAGTGATCTATATCTACAGTAGGTGATGATAAGTAACTATCGATGTAGTAGAGTGGTCTATATCTACAGTAGGTGATGGTAAGTAACTATAGATACAGTAGAGTGGTCTATATCTACAGTAGATGACGGCTAGTAACTATAGATACAATGGAGTGGTCTATATCTGCAGTAGATGACGGCTAGTAACTATAGATACAATAGAGTGGTCTATATCTACAGTAGATGACGGCTAGTAACTATAGATACAATAGAGTTTTCTATATCTACAGTTGGTGATGGTAAGTAACTATAGATATAGTGGAGTGGTCTATATCTACAGTAGATGACGGCTAGTAACTATAGATACAATGGAGTTGTCTATATCTACAGTAGATGGTGATAAGTAACTATAGATACAATAGAGTGGTCTATATCTACAGTAGATGACGGCTAGTAACTATATATATAATAGAGTGGTCTATATCTACAGTAGATGGAGGTAAGTAACTTTAAATACAATGGAGTTGTCTATATCTACAGTAGATGGTGATAAGTAATTATAGATACAATAGAGTGGTCTATATCTACAGTAGATGACGGCTAGTAACTATAAAGTGATCTATATATACAGTAGATGACGGCTAGTAACTATATATATAATAGAGTGGTCTACATCTACAGTAGATGGAGGTAAGTAACTTTAGATACAATGGAGTGGTCTATATCTACATTAGATGGTGATAAGTAACTATAGATACAATAGAGTGGTCTATATATACAGTTGATGACGGCTAGTAACTATAAAGTGATCTATATCTACAGAAGATGACGGCTAGTAACTATAGATATAATAGAGTGGTCTATATCTACAGTAGATAGTGGTAAGTAACTATAGATACAATAGAGTGGTCTATATCTACAGTAGATGGTGGCAAGTAACTATAAATAAAATAGAGTTGGCTATATCTACAGTAGATGACGGCTAGTAATTATAGATATGATAGAGTGGTCCATATATACAGTAGATGGAGATAAGTAACTTTAGATACAATGGAGTGGTCTATATCTACAGTAGATGGTGATAAGTAACTATAGATATAATAGAGTGGTCTATATACAGTTGATGACGGCTAGTAACTATAAAGTGATCTATATCTACAGAAGATGACGGCTAGTAACTATAGATATAATAGAGTGGTCTATATCTACAGTAGATAGTGGTAAGTAACTATAGATACAATAGAGTGGTCTATATCTACAATGGATGACGGTTAGTAACTATAAAGTGATCTATATCTACAGTAGATGACGGCTAGTAACTATAGATATAATAGAGTGGTCTTTATCTACAGTAGGTGATGGTTAGTAACTATAGATATAATAGAGTGATCTATATACAGTAGATGATGGTAAGTAACCATAGATATAAAGAGTGATCTATATCTACAGAAGATGACGGCTAGTAACTATAGATATAATAGAGTGGTCTATATCTACAGTAGATAGTGGTAAGTAACTATAGATACAATAGAGTGGTCTATATCTACAATGGATGACGGTTAGTAACTATAAAGTGATCTATATCTACAGTAGATGACGGCTAGTAACTATAGATATAATAGAGTGGTCTTTATCTACAATAGGTGATGGTTAGTAACTATAGATATAATAGACTGATCTATATCTACAGTAGATGATGGTAAGTAACCATAGATATAAAGAGTGGTCTATATCTACAGTAGATGACGGCTAGTAACTATAAAGTGATCTATATCTACAGTAGATGACGGCTAGTAACTATAGATATAATAGAGTGGTCTACGCCTACAGCAAGTGATAGTAAGTAACTATGGATATAATAGAGTGGTCCATATATACAATAGATGGTGGTAAGTAACTATAAATATGATGGTGATGGTGATTTACTATAGATATAATAGAGTGGTTTATATCTACAATAGTTGGTGGCAAGTAACTATAAATATAATAGAATGATCTATATCTACAGTAGATGATGGTAAGTAATTGTGAATATAATAGAGTGGTCTATATCTACATTAGGTGGTGGCAAGTAGCTATAAATATAATAGAGTGATCTACATCTACAGTAGGTGATGGTAAGTAACTATAGATATAATAGAGTGGTCTATATCTACAGTAGATGATGATAAGTAATTATAAATATAATAGAGTGGTCTATATCTACAGTAGGTGGTGGCAAGTAGCTATAAATATAATAGAGTGATCTACATCTACAGTAGGTGATGGTAAGTAACTATAGATATAATAGAGTGGTCTATATCTACAGTAGATGATGGTAAGTAATTATAAATATAATAGAGTGGTCTATATCTACAGTAGGTGGTAGCAAGTAGCTATAAATATAATAGAGTGATCTACATCTACAGTAGGTAATGGTAAGTAACTATAGATATAATAGAGTGGTCTATCTCTACAGTAGGTGATGGTAAGTAATTATAAATATAATAGAGTGGTCTATCTCTACAGTAGGTGATGGTAAGTAACTATAGATATAAAAGAGTTGTCTATATCTACAGTAGATGATGGTAAGTAACTATAGATATAATAGAGTGGTCTATATCTACAGTAGGTGATGGCAAGTATCTATAGATATAATAGAGTGGTCTATATCTACAGTAGGTGATGATAAGTATCTACAGATATTGTAGAGTGGTCTATATCTACAGTAGGTGATGATAAGTTACTACAGATATTGTAGAGTGGTCTATATCTGTAGTAGATGACGGCTAGTAACTATAGATATAATAGAGTGGTCTATATCTACAGTAGATGATGGTAAGTAACCATAGATATAAAGAGTGGTCTATATCTACAGTAGATGGTGGCAAGTAACTATAAATAAAATAGAGTTGGCTATATCTACAGTAGATGACGGCTAGTAATTATAGATATAATAGAGTGGTCCATATATACAGTAGATGGTGGTAAGTAACTATAGATACAATAGTGTGGTCTATATCTACAGTAGATGATGGTAAGTCGCTATAACGAAGTGTTATTTGAGGGTAAAAGTCGACTATCGGACTATGATCTACAGTAAGTGACAACATATAACGAATGGTCTATTGTGGTCTAGATGTAAAGATGTAGTAGAGAGTTTATTGAGTTAATTAATGTAAATAATGAGATTTGTAAAGTAGTTATAACGTTGTTTTTTCACCTAAAGACGATACCTATTTACTTGGACAAAAAAATGACTGAATAAAATATCTTTCCAACACTTAGTTAACCCCATTTTACCAAATATTTATTGTAAATTTTATTTACATTAATTATCCAACACAGCCTTTGTGAAGAAACTCAAAAAGACATAGGCATCTGTCCACAAAGATGAAAGAAATAATATTGGCTCGTTGCCAAAATGTTATCATAAGTATGATTTGATGTCCTTAGCAAACGCCTTTTAACCTACCAAATGTATGATATTTTAATATGTTTTACATATTTGTCGTATAGTTTCTGTGGGTCTGTAAGAAAATAGAAATATCAAGCGTTCTCTGAATTTAAAATTCGTATTTGTCAGTTGAGTTTTTCTATCCACTCTTTTTCCTTTGATTTACAACTGTGCTTAATACATTGGCCTGAACATCAAAGGCGGCCTCCGGCAAACATGTGTAATTTATAAGGGCAGAGGTATTGTCAAAAATAACTTTAAAGTTTATCAAATTATTTCACGAAATCGTCAAATTTTTATATGCTTAAATAAGTGCCATAATTGGGATCACAAGGGAAAGTTATTCATGTTTGTTTACATTACATCAAAACATAAGTTAATTGTACTGATATGTAATTAACCGAGGCGGTAATATCAAAGGCTTGAAATTCTCCCAACCGAGTGTTGCTATCGGAAGCTATAAAGAGTTACAAAGTAGGTTAAAGGTAACCGTGTAGAAATATTTAATATTTAAATGCTTTACCATGCAATAATGTACATTGACATGTTTTTTGGAATCTCGTAGATTTTATGTGGGTATAATTTTTGTGGGCTTACATGTCATAATCAAAATATATGAGACTTTTCAAGTCTTATTGTACTAGCTGAGGACCCTTTAATAATAGACTGGTCTAGGTGATTTCTCTCAGTGTTGTTTCTAGCTGGAATTTCATTGGTGCGGTCCATCTAAAAGGTATGACGTCACATAGTATGGGGGGATTGTCGGCGGCGGGCATGTGGCTTTGATCTTTATACATTCAAACTTTTCAAATAGTCTCTACTGTGTTTGTTCCTTACAACTCTAATTCTGGATAGAGATAGCCTTTGTCTTCGGCCGCAATGCAAAGGTAAGCTCAATCATTTATCTTGTTACGAGGATTGCCATATGTAGATAGCGAGGCGACCCGTCAAAGTGAGTGTTTAGTCAGTACAGTATACAACAAACCCGCGTTCTAACCCAATGGCAATGAAACGGCGTCAGCAACTCAACTAAACAATTTCTACAGTAAATTTGAGGTATTTATTTCATGTGATCATGGATTTCTTCTTGTGGATGAGTATTCTTCTGGATTATACATGTTGCACTAATTGACGGATATTACAAGTTCTAATGGATATATCAGTGATGGCCTTTTAATGTTTATTTTTGACGGAATTCCTACCCTTTCAAGTGTAAAGGCCATCCAACGGTGTGAGAGACATTTCTTAAAGTTCAGAAGTTATTCTTCAAGTGTATGGATTATTATCGGGAATATAACAGGACTTGGCTTCTATCGTTCACACAAATTTCTTACGTTGTTTTAGAAAGTAATATTCTGTTATGTGTACGTTACATAGGGGTAAGTGTAAATAGTTGTAACGTGTGTGGTATATTGGGTTTTTGGCCTGATTATGTTACCCCATGTATATTGTGACTGGTGCATATGACATCGTAAATTGTCCTTTCTAATTAGGTTTGTTGATTTACTACAGGTCCCAATCAGTGGTTTAATTATATGGAGTAACATCCGATAATTTTGAGAATCCATAGTAAGATAATTATTTTGATAATTAGAAATATTTTTAGAAACAATTTTTCTTCCATTCTGAAATTGATATGCGAGTAAGATTGGCGTTTGATGTTCCCTTTTTTCTAATTGATCATAGTAAATTGTCTATATGGAGCAGCAGTTGTTTATAGCATAACAGAAGGTAATATTTTATTCGCGATATTGATAGTGTAGTAGTGTAGTTGAATATTCCTTAATAAACGCCCAGCTGACGTGTTTTCGTTATCTGGTCGTATCGGATATCAAAGGAATAAGTGAAAAATGGTAATTGTCTTTGATCTTTTCGTAAAAAATGTTATGATTTGGTGATCTAGTTAAAGTGTTGCCCACAGCGCCACCATTTGTAAAAGAGTAATGGCGGCGGCTTCTGATGTATTTTGAGGTGAAAATGAACGAGTTGTATCACCGACCCGTATTAAGATATATTGTCCAACATTGTGTAAATCGTTCTTTTTGTCACGTTTATGCTACAATATGTATATCTTTTGATGCAAAGCTCATGCATTATCCAGATAACAAAGATAACCTATTTCAAGCAGTCCAAATATATCAGGGCAAATATGTTATTTTAGTCCGTTCGTTTGTCTTGTAAATTGCACTGGTTTCGTGATATATACTTAAAAAAGAAAGAACATTTAGGTCAGTTTTTACGTTTCTTGATTGTGTTTAGTCTGCAGGTCTGATTAGGTTGCAGTTATTAACTGGTCAGCAGGAGACAAATGGAGATGGACAGTTGAGGCCATTATGTTAATTGTTGGATTATGTAATATTTGTCCAGTGAAATAATCTAACTAATGTTGCCAAATTTACTTAACATGGTTCAGACGGACAGTGTAGTGGTCAGAACATGAAGTGGTCAAGAAAGTATACATTGGTCAGTGTAGTGGACCATGGGAAAGAATGCAAGTCCTGTTTGGTATTTAGTTATTTTTTCTAGTGAATACCCCAAAGGGAGTGTTAAAGAATGTCCATTTTTGCTGAGTTACACATGTGCCCTCCACTCTTTTAGCTGAATAAATTAAATTCACTGAATCGGGTTTCACTTGATGGTTAGATGAACAAAAGGGGGTTTCATGTTACACAATGCTGTATCTAAAATCTATGTTTCTATCAGCTACCCAGATCAAACTCTGGACTAGATGTTTTTTCTTCAGTATTTTTCACATGTTGAAATAATCAGGTTAAATCTAAAAAAAGACTAAAGGTTGTTGTTAGGTTTATAGATATGTTACAGACACACTTTGTTATACACCCATATTGCTCATGGCTAACTTGTACTCCTAACAAAATTTAGACTAAAACTTTTTGTGTAGGCCTACCCAATGTCAAAGGGAAAAGATCAAACTAAAATCAAAAGATTTGCGTTGGCTGCAAGCTTTTGTGTTTCATCAATTTTCATGGTACAACCCAACTACATACTATTAGAAACACTAATAAACACAGAAAAAAATTGATAGCTCTTTTTTAGAGAAGAATAAAGCAAGTCAAAGAAAGCAAGTTTCTTTTAGTTCAGCATTCATTTCAAATGATATGCCATTACAAAGTATATCAAAGCCAGTGAGATTACAATCAAAAGAGGGCATCAGAGACATAAACAAAAGCTCAATAGAACTGATCTCATGTGATCTGGTGGATCAAAGAAACCAGTTGATATTGAAGGCCTATCAAATAGCACACAACTGAAGGAGATGAGTAGAAAGATCAATTAGTAACAATTACTTTTAGAATTTCAACTTTATCAATAAGTTCTTTGAATAGTAGTTATAGATTTTAATACTTAGCATACCTTTATCAAACAGGAAAGATGTTAAATACATAGAAGTTGTATCGAACTATTCACTGTTTAGTGTTTTTATTGCAACAGTTGAACAATCTATCTTTTATATCAGCCATTACTCTCTTCGATTCCATTCTCTTACGATGAGACAGAAAACTTGTTGAGATGTTTGGGTTTTTCTGTGCGTGAGGTATAAAGAAGAGGTTTCTATTTATTTTAGAATGTTTTATAATGATGAAACTATGATGATATTGATCTATTTTTACCTGACATTTAACACTTGTTATTTTAGCCTACTATTCCTTCAGTGTTAATTTCAATTTCAATTTGTGTCCTGATGCGTTAGCTTGCAATTCTATAAGGATGTTAATATGCTCATTACCTATAACTAAGCATATTAACTTTAGATGAAATATCCTGAGCGCCGTAATATTGGTATTCAAGAACTGACATTAAAGAAGATGGGTACAAAATATGACCTTGAAAACATTTATTACATGGTAGACATATACATACATCAGTATGATTTGATTGTAAATCATCATTGGGCAAAAGTTAAACTAGTAATATTTGTAAAAAATGCATTGTCATCTTGTTCACTCACTTCCATATATTATAATGATATTTTTTGATTCAAATATTTCTTATTTCTCTTGACGCAGTTACTATTTAGGCTGGCTTTAGTTGGTTTTATTGCACCTTGACACAGAATAATATTATTAGCTCTCTATTGTAGATGGGTCATGTAGTTCATTTGTCTCTAAGTTTAGCAGCTCAAATCTTGTAAACACACTTTGGTACACAGGATTCTTTAAATCAGACAACTTTGATAGTTTAAGACTTTAAAGGTTTCTTAGTGTCACATGGGTTCTGATTGAAGCTTGAGACTTCCTTTCCAACATCAAAGACACAAAATCGAGTCTTTTTTTATTTCACCTCACTGAATCTTCTGTCTTGTTTTTTCTTAGTCGGTGTGAATGAGTTCATCAAAGTAACTCTGTGTCACTAAATCTTTTTAAACTGAATTTTTTCCGTCCAGAAAGTTGAGGTGATTTGTAGCTTGAGTTTGTGTTTTAAAATGATTTCTATTGACTTTAGAATAAACTTAGTTTTCTTTCAAATGACTTTTAGTTGAAAGGTAATATTGAATCAGCAGCTCAACTTAGATTCCCTAGTTTCCTGTCGAAGTATTTGTTTTCAGATGTGTTAACATTAATTGCACACTTAAAAAAACACTCCTGATTAAAAAGAAAAGCAGCCACAATAGTTCAAAGGATCCAAAAATAAGTTTTTTTTCCAAAGGAGTAATTTAATGTGTTTTATGAATAAAAGAATGTCTTCAAATGTTTCATGAGATTTGTTGAAAGTCGAACTTAAACTGTTCTGTTATTGCATTGGTTATCATGGATGTGAACTAGCTGACCTCATTGAATGATGATTTTATTATGTTTGTCATTTTTACATCCTTGTGATGTAAACAGATTTTATTTCTTTACTTCACTATTTATCAGTTGTATATCTTCATCTAATATTCGATTATTTTCTTTTATAGATGTAAGAAAATTTGTTTGTGACAATACCATCTTGCGGTCAGAGATTGACCTCACAAATTTGTGAGGATGACCAGCAAGGTGTTTGAATTTCTGAATGACTCGGGTGGTAATAATTTTACGGAATCAGCACCAAGACCACCTGTTCCTGGAGAAGAAAATGAGCTTCAGTCTAACGGAGGCATGTCAACACGAAGTAGTGGCTCACATAAAAGTCAAGTGTCCAGTAAGAGTCAGTCTTCTGGTAAAAGCATTTCGTCAAGTAAAGGTGAAGTAACACATTCACCCGCTGCAACCCCTCGGAAATCTAATCTGGACAAAACAGGAGGATCTTTAAGTTGTTCCACGCAAGGTTTATTTATTGATGATATGGATGCTCCTCTTGGATTTGAACCTGAAGGAAGTGCTGCTAATTCACCTCCCTTTACTGAGAATGGTACACCTCCCCATTTAAAATGGGCTGAAACATTACACCATCTGTTAAGTGATAGTGATGGTGTGGAGTTATTTAAGGAATATCTAGATAAGGAAAGTGGCGGATGTCCAGAGGTTGACTTCTGGTTCGCATGTGAAGGATTACGACAAAAGGATGCTCTACAATTACCTAGTGTTATAAAAGTGATTTATAAGAAGTTTGTGAGGCCAGACAAAATAAAATGTATTGATAAACCCACACGGCAGGACATTTCGGACAAAATCAATCGTAAAGAACAAGACAGCACCATTTTCGATACTGCCCAGGCAGAAGTGGAGGTGTACATGAAAAATGTGACCTATCCTGCATTTTTAAATTCAGATTTTTATGTGCAATATGTACAGAACTACGGCGATAGTCCAAAATCAAGCCGTTCTAGTGGTTCAAATAGTGCTAGGCCAGTGTCCCAGACAGGACTTTTACCGGCCCTAATTGAGGACAAAGAACTTGAAAGTAGCCAATTGGGTTCTAATGTGGGATCTAGTGCTTTGAATAAATCCCATGGTCATAATTTCCAACGTCCAGAATTACCTAAACGAACTGAAACTGTTATTGGGTAGGTACATCATTCTTCTTCTCCTCAATCAATTTGTTACTTTTCACATCGGTGTTGACATTTATTTTTACTCTAAATTATGTGTTGCTTTTGTGTTTGCACTTGCCTTAATTTCTAATCACCAATTTTTGATTTAGCTACCGCAATCAGTATTATTCAGTTCTTTCATCTCTCACTTCATCTAGGTGTTCCCGTTATACCTCACGAATGTCAAGTTCTTCATATCCAGCCCATGTTTCCTATGCCCCTGTATCTACTGTGGATAGCGAATTACAGAGTTTGTCAAGTGATGCCTTAACAGATGACACTATCTCCTTAACAGATAGTTCAGTGTAAGTATCTCCTCTTGCACTTCATAAATTTAAAGGGATACACCATGCCAAATGTTCAAATATTAAAATTTTCAACTACCGGTATTCAAAGTCTCCTACTCTTGTGGAGAGTCTGGAGGTGTTGAATGCTGACACTGGGCCAGCACTGGCTGTGGCATCATAATTTTTCTTACCTTGAGGAAGATTCAGCACCTTATCTCAAACAGACTTGCAGTCATCGTTAACACCTTAGGGGTTCAATCCAGATCCATTGCACTATGTACAAAATGACCTTCATTGCATAATGTGGTCCATTATCCTGACTTGAAGCTGAATATTTTCATTCTTTCTCTAAAACTCAAATGTGGAATTGTCATTTAATTGTACACAGTTGAACCATAGCATGGTGTATCCTTTTAAACATTCATGGGATGTCATCAAACACAACTTTCTTATGCATTATTTATTTTTAATGTGCACATTGCTTTGTACTAAAACTAAACAATTAAACTGGTTTTGTCTAGCAATCTCTACTGTGTGGAACTTAGTATTGAAGTTCTCCTTATGAATTCATTAACATTGTATATTAGGAAACTTTTTAAAAAAAAAAAAAATAATGAACATCTGTTTGCTGCAGGTGAAAAAGGATCAGATTTTCTTCTAATTATCTAACAATGTTAAACCATAATATAAGCTTAAATGATGCTAAACTTGTTGATAAGTATGAAATTGAACTTTCCAAAAAAAAATCTGACTTGAGATGGAATAATATTTTCAGATAAGTAAAAGTCAGTTAAATAACATAATACTCTGGCCTGAAATTTGGGGGTGTCCATAATGTTAAAATATCATTGTCAAATTAACCATTCATGTTAAAATATTCTATATAAAACATAAAACATAAAAACCCTCTTTGATGTATATATTCTATAATAATGTATTATTATAAAAAAGAATTATATATGTAAAGTATAATTAGGGTGTTGTTCTGATAAGAGTCAATATATATCATGTAGTACAACAAAAATCATCAAAGCAATGATCCAACATTGTAATTAAAAAATAATTTGTTAGATGTTCACTTATTCAAAACTTTTTTATAAGGGTTTTTCTTTTGTTATATTTGACATTGAGATGCAGATGACATTCCTTTCTGTGCAGTTTTTGGCTTCTGTTACTTAAATACAATGATTTCAATGCAAGTGTTTCTCAATTGGCATAATAAAGATAAATTTGAAAGGCACATTCAAAGACAAATAGAGCTCAGCCAGTATATATGCTCATGAACAAAGAGCAACAAAACACATGAGGCAAAACAAGGTTATTCTGTTGAATTTGTTATCTACCTGAATTTTATTTATTAATTCAGAAATTTTACCAACTTTATTTAAACTGTGCATATAAATGATTGTTGACCTCTGCTAGACTTGACAGGCAAAAATACCACATGAATAGCCAGTGTTTAATAGAGTTTTGTCTAGGCCTTGTGGTATGTTATCATTACTTTACATCAAGTCAAATTATACCATGTCTCTGTCTGTAGACTACATAAAATAATGATAATTTCCAGACTGTCTATCATTTCATAATAAAAGATTAATATAATACTATTATTTCAAATCTCTAATGAAACATCAAAAAGTAAAGGAGTGGAAACTAGAGATATTTTATCTCCAATGACAATTGAAGTCACCAGACTTTTATTGTCCTCAGTCATGGAATTTGGACTTGATATTAAGATTAAATTATAAATATAACTTATTATCATTGCTATAAGATCTGAAACCTTGAGTGAATGGTGTTTTGAAAGCAAAAGCATGCCTTGTCATGTACCATTAATGTATTGAGCTGTAATTTCCTTTTGTCCCATTCACTCAATTAAATAATTTTAAGGTGAAGATCATGAACTTGTGGTAGAAATAGTTGTCAAGATAAATGATAATTTTAAACTATATCACATCTTGACTAATGCATTTTATGTCTAGGTCATCAGAGAGGTCAGTTTGTGTACCTGTTTTACCCCTATTTCCATTAATAGTCTCCTTTCTAATTGACCACTCTGACCAATTAGTAAAATATTTAAGGTTAAAAAAGTGAAACTATTTTGGAAAGTTCAAGCACTAGGTTACCTTTGCGAGATAGCGTTGTAAAGTCACAGGTGACATGAAAAATGTTATAATATTTTTCTAGTAATGTTAAAGGTATAAAATCTAATAGAGAAGTATAAAAGAAAGATGAACTATTTTATCACCTCCAACATCAAAAAAACCTATTTTATTATAAAACACCATAAACAATAAGCTGTTTTGATGGACACTTTATTGAGACCTAGTTTGGTGAGATGAAAGAAACATTTATTTGAAGTATTGTTTAGAGTTTTTCAGTCCTATAGCATAGCTGTTTACTTAGGAGACCTCAATCTATTGTAGCCTTTATCGCCTTTTAACACCAGTTGGTTTGACTGGGTTGGTTCTGGTTGAGCGAGTGACAATTGGTGTGTGACAGGAAGGCTCCAAGTTTTACTTATATATACCACTTTGATCAGTGAAGTAAGGAGACTGTGATCTAAACATAGATTAAATCAAATTAGCCCCAGGTCATATTTTAAGATGAAAGTTAATGTCAATATTAAATTCTTTCACTTTCATGAAAATAAATTAAGAGAAATCACTCATTTTGCAAGCCATCAAATTTTAATTGCAGTAGACACAGCTTCGAATTTTATCCATTAAACTATTATTAATATTATGTTCAACAAATATTTCATTGTTAGAATAATGCCAAGTACATCAGTTATTAAGCGATATTGAAATTTTGGTTTGTTCAAATTGTGGTAAATTTTTTTCAAAAAATAAAAGCAGACAAAATAAAACTGATTGAAATCCTGAAGGAATGTAAGAGATGTAGGTTGTTTTAGATAAAATGAAACAACCTGGACTCTGGTCTCAATTTAACCATTGTTCAACTTTTATCTTATATATAGACCTGGTATGTATACTAACAGTAACACCCAAACACTTTCTTATTTTATAAGCTTTATCTTCAATTTGAACATGGTAGTTTTATTCTTGTTAAACACTTGTAAACAGCAGAGTAAATTTTAGTAGGTAGTAATTAAATTGTACTGAAAACCTATTACTAAGACTTGTGCACATGTGAAAAAGGCATTGTTCAGCCAGCCTTTGATGGTGTACAACTATTATACTGAGTACACTGTACTCTATTCAGTGAGACTTTAGACAGCAGTCAGCCTTATCCAAATGAAAACACTTCAAAGGATTTGTCATACCACCGTGAAGAAATTTATGCACAGTTGATAAAAGGGCCAGGCCACTTATGAAGGGAAGGGGCTTTTATCTAATGACTTTACTTTGCCTTTGATCTTTCTCTCCTTTACCTGTGTGAGCCAATGAAATTGAGTCTAGCCTCCAATTGATTTGAAAGTCAATAGATGCGTATATCTGTATCTGGCTTTCTTCACTACCCCAACATGTTTCAATAGATTGTTTGAATTTCTCCCTACTTTTTTTTTTATTGACCCTAGTAAGAAAGGATTTAGTTTTTTTTTATTAGGGATGATAATTTTGATCTCTTTCTATGATAGTCCTATTATGAAATGGGGTTATCTAGCTGATATTCAATGATATCACATTCCTTTTTGGGTTTAAACAGGTTTTTGGCAATTTTTCCTCTATTGTTAGGTTGACATTGTTTAGTGGAAAATATGAAAGTGTGAGGTTACCATATGTTAAAGTTTAAAATCACAGCTTTTATGGTTTTGTCGTTTCTTGGCCTCGTAAAATAAAATAAAAAGAAGTAACACTGAACATTAACTTGGAAGGGAAACTTTGAAAATGATACATTCCAACTGTTACTTTTAACATATGCCAGACTTTCTTTCAAATGATTACATATGAATGTCTTTGATCCAATTATAATTGTGTTGATTACTAATTAGCTAATTAGATTAATTAATGAGCTCATTAAGAATAGATTGAAATGATTGTAATTATAGAGATGGGTTATCTAGTAGGAGTTGGAAGAGAAGTAGAAAGTCTATGAAAAATCAAGCTCAGGTGAATCGAGAGCCCAGTGCTGGTCTCCATTCGAATATTATACCTGTAAGTATCTATGTTATGTTACCTAGGGAGGACCATTGTTACTTAAAATATTGTATTCCATCATAAATAGATCTGTCCCAAGTATCTGTTTTGAAAAGTGTATGAAGATTTAAAAAATGATTTTATATCTCTGTCTGAAAAGAATGGTCCTTCTTTTATTCAATATTTCCATTGCTAAAACCTAACATTGAAACTGATGATACATGATATAGGAGCTGAAAATGTAGTCATGGATGTAAAACTCAATTTCAAATCGAAAAAAATATAAATTTTCATTTATACACTAATGATAATGTTACAATACTTTACATGTTAATCAAGACACTTTTTTTCTTGTTTTAGCGAACTGAAAGGGCACCAAAAGACAGAAATATTGC